AAGCAGCACAATATCAGTTCACTTTCCTTACTACTATATTACAGAGCCCTGAGGAACGTGTTAAGCACCGATATATTCGTAGAAAGAAAAGTTTGCAAGAACTTTTATGCATCTATACTTGCACACTGAATCGTGAAAATTTTCCAAAAGGATGTACCTTTTGATATGGCGATGCTTCACGGTCTAGTAGCATCCCTGGAATTACAATATACTATTCGCACCCTTCTCGTAAGCATTTTGATTACACAGCTCTCTCTCTCTCGTATGCAAATAAAAATTAGAATGACGACTAACCACTGCAAACCATATGAAAACCATCAATGTTTATTAAAGTACAACTTATTTTTCGCTGATAAGAAACAATGATGAATGAGGTTCAAAGAACGTTTACGTTTTCGATCTAATCACACAGAATGGAGAATGGTAAAATGGTGAATCTTGATGCACAATACAGTAACTATCGCACATTGGAGAACATCAATGGCAATGTCTACAAACTCTACAAAATAGCTCACTTCTACATCAATGTATAACAATAGCACAGAGAAAAAAAACAACTTTAGTACAGGAAAAAAACAACTCTAAACCGACCCATCCAGGAAATCGAATGTTTTCCGGAAAAGCAAGGTTGTAAACCAGCAACTGCACCAGTTGTGCGAAAAAAGAAATAATACTCAGATGTCATACTTATTACAAATTAAATACTTATTTTGTAAAATTTCTTATGTTGATCGAAATCCCCTTTTAGGGAATTATTTTTCTAATGAAAAACCGCCGTTTCCAAGGGATGGGTGTACTCCTTAAGAATATTTCGACGAAATGGCTCAGTCCCAACACAGGCACTAATACACATGCAATATTTGTGTTCTGCCAGAACGGCGAAATGAATCAGTAAAAATCATGAGACCTGGATAAATCTGCAACGGCTGTATGTACAACAACAAAGCGTGTGATTTGATGTCCGCGATAGACCCTCATGACTTGCGCCCTCATCTGCTAGCTATACCACATATCTCATGAACAATTTCATGTCATGAACCATTCAGCATAAAGCAGTCATGAGGTTAGACATGAACCACAGTGTTCTCATCTCAGAAACAAAACCATTGAGAAATCAAATGCGAACTGAAGATCAAATCAACAACGGACACAGATAAAAGAGGAGTACCTGGCAGAGATAATACAGATATTAAATGAGACTAATCCTCATAACATTGGGATCAGAAACCGATTTTTGTTTGGACAGCTCCGATCCTATAAACTCGATAATCATGGCACGAGATTTACACGTTCTCGAACTTATGAAAAAAAAGCGGTACTGTACGATAGGTTGAATGGGCTCGTTTTCAAGCACTTACCACGAAATTGACTTTAATCATCAGCAGCTCGACCTCTCTTTTTTGGTGGCAGGTTATGGTCAACACCTGCTCCTCGTTTCTTTGAGGGCATTACCTAAATAAGTAGATGTGAACTTACAAGATGAGAAGACTAGACTTCCTCTAAGGCAAATGAACGGCGTACTTAGCGCCCACCTTTTCAGCATTCTCGACGACTTGAACGTGCGCGACACGCCCTATATACCCACAGAGGCGAGCGCAGCCGCAAAGAGCAACGCGATCCGTACCGGCCGACCCACGCTCAGTTGGCTTGCGGCAGAGTCTATAGATGAAAGGTCTAGGCCGGACTGCACTTCACACAACTCTGGCACCCTCACTGCCCTTATATACACACACTACAAATGGCATAGCAGCCACTGGCGATCGGCTTCCAGATTACCAGTATGGGGAAAGAGGAGCGGCTATTCATGCGTTTTTTGGGCCATGAATACCCTCCTCTTTCCCCATACTCTCCCGAACACAAAGAGAATCGACGCGTCGAATCAATACTCCATCTAGGCTGTGTTCCACGTCTGGCCTCTGGTAGTAGTAGAACGTCAGCGTAGAGCTGAAAAGCTATCCTTAGCCCGAACGATTAAGTTTGGAATCGACAACCGGTAAACAGGCAAGAATGGGAAGCCACCTCCGGGTATGCAGATATCCAGTCCAAACACTCCAGCAAAGCCCCACACAATACCTAGTCCTATGACTCTACAGAAAGCTTATCCCTTCGGATATATGGTACGACTGCTTTAATGATGCATCACAAAATACAGGATAGTCAGGCAGGCCGTACATATTAATGCCTCGAGCACGAACGTTATAAGCGTTCTTACTGTGAACGGAAGCGAACGCATTCGTCTTCATGAGCATTTTGATAGGCCGAACTCTACAGTTTTAAGAGTGGGTGGAGCAGTTTTAAGAGTTGTACCACCTGTCAGTGGTGCGGTAACTATACTACTGTATATGCAGACGCTCACTAAAGAAAGTTTGAAGTCAGAGGTACTGCGATCGCCATTGTGAGAAAACGAACGACGTAAGAATCTGATTAAAGTCCGTAAATAATGGAATGATACACGACTGAAACCTGAAGTTTTCAGCTCTAATGTCCAACGTTAACATCACCCACCTCGAAACTCACCTCTCAGGAATATATGCAAATATCAAATGTATAATTCAATAAACTTCAAAAGCGGGTTCAGCATGAAGATAGACGCCCACTTTTTACTCATGATCCAAGCTTATACGTACAGACATCAGTTTTCCAAATGAGCAGATATTCCCCACCATCTTGCTCAGAAGGAGGTCGAAGCGCAGCGCGCGGATCTCCTCTACAGCCCACTTGTTCCTGCATACAGGCAGTCGACTGCAGCGTGCGGATCTATTATCTACATCCTTATGTGCGATCAGTCGGGGATAGTGACCAACAAGACAAAATACAGCCGTTTTCCCGCTTTGTTCCGACCAGCACAAGAGAAGAACTATAGAATCAGATGCGAAGTTGCAACGATCGCAAATGGTGGAGAACGAGCTAGGTAATCTCTCGCAACTTCGAATGCATGCCTATTCGGCTATAACCTTGACCCCTTACAAACGAATTAGCCTCAAAATGCGACTTGTCTAAATGGTATCTAGAAAGTGGTGAAAACAGAACACTTATCATCTGCAACTATAGCAAGAAAACCATAAACTTTGCAAAGCTAACTACCTCATCGCCACTGCCACCTCCTTCAACATCAGATTTGGAATCGTCGAAGACCATCTCATTATCATCGTCGTCCTCAGAGTCATCATGCTTCTTCAAAGCAAATGATGAGATTGCAGAGAGATTATAGTCGACAGATAATCAGCTACCTTATGTGAGGCAGCCGCTCCTCCCCTTCCACGTCCACGTCCCCTACCGCGACCACGACCTCGAGCAGCACCGCGCTTTTTCTTTGTGCCGAATTCCTGCATGAAAACAAAATTAACTTTACTTTAACCTAATGATTGTAAAACAAATACCAACTCTTACCACGTCGTCATCATCGCTAGCAGGTTGGTCGCTGTCGGTGTCTGATGTCTTTTTCCCTCGACCTCTTCCTCTTCCTCGTCCACCGCGACCACGTCCACTCTACAATGAGAAAATATCAATCATTCCTGAAACTACTCAGTCCCACTTCAAAAAGGCGCCTGTGGAGATAACGACAAAGTAACGAAGGCGCTGCGGCTCTCATAGGTGGCAGTTCTGACGCCTCCAACCCGCCCGTCGAAGTTCAAAGGCGATCTTATATCAAGAGTTCAGTTTCCACACCGTTTTCGGTTTCTTTTTACACTGTTTGTTGGCGATAGCATTGAATGGCGTAGAGAAACAATTTTTGAGCCAGAAGCCGCATGGCATCGTTTTGCTGTCATAAAATGAGCAGCTCCGGACAACTCGTACCCTGAGGCTGCCAGGGAATCGTTACACTGCTCTCCGTGATCTTTTTTCCTGCTATTTTCTTCCGGAGGTCAGTTAGCGACGGTGGGTTATTAAATGCCACTACACACAATATGCAATCGCCAGTATTGCCTCCAATGAAGGATAAACTCTTCGCTGTTGACCAATACTTTTTGGCGTAATGGCTCATTCAATGCGACGTGGCCTATACATTGACTTGCGGAAGCCAGCCGATGTACAAGTCAGTGTTTTATCCTCCCAGACAAATTTGGCACCGAATTTACCACCCCTGAAGGTTTGAGGTTTCGTGAGTCTGGGACGGAGCTGAGTGGTTTGACCCAGACCCCTCCACTTATGGATATGATATATGAACTCACAAGGACTCAGTTCACTCCAGTAACCGGCCACTTCAAGAAGCGCAAGATTGTAGATAAAAAAAAGTGCAGAAAACTTACGCGGAACAACTTTCCAGGAATTTCGTCATCCACTTCAGCAAGGACTGTCGAAGTGTCCGGATTAGCATAGTCAACTCGTGTCGAGGTAGAACGGCGGGGGCGTGACGATGCTATCGATGATGGCTAAAAATTCGAAAGGTTTTCAGAAGGCAGTAACAAGGGAACCACTACAATGATGAACTTACTGCATCCTCCGAAGCCGCAGCAGGTACACGAGGCGTACGTGGAGTACGAGCAGCAGCAGCCGCCGTCGTCCCAGCAGGTCTGCCGCGTCCGCGACCACGACCTGAACTAGCATTATGCAACACAGCCGATACCAAAAACAGATTTTGCACCAGCATGTAACACTATCAATTTTCCTAGGATCGGAGGGATGTGTTTGTAATGTCGTATTACAGTACCGCTTATTGTTTTCAACTTGCAACTAACCACGACCTCTGCCTCTTCCTGGAGTTGCAGCAGCTGGCTCTGCAGCAGCATCTTTGGGCGCTTCATTTTCTCCAGTAGATGTATCCATGTCTTCTGCTGCTTTGGCAGGGGTTGCCTTCTTCTCCTGAAGTTCAAAGTCACATTCCGAATGTGTTCGACCGATCCAGTGTGAAGCGTAGTAGTGAGTTTAAGCCAAGAATTTCAGCGCTTTATCTTTCCTTGTATCGCAACCCACCATAATCTTTAACTTTTTCTGGCAGCATTTTTGGAAGAGAAGATGAAGGAAAAAAAAAAAAAAAAAAAAAAAATATGTTCAACTTCGCAACAATACTTTCCCAGTGGCTAAAGCGCTGCCCTACGCTGGGATACGATCAGAAGGTTAGAACGATATCTATACTGCCCTAGCCGCTAAACGCTGATGCAATCACTAAACAGCATTTTTCTTGCAAATTCACCCCTTGTGTGACATGAAGCAAAAGAGAACCTCGGAAAAAGAGAGGTACGTGGACCGTAGACTAAATAGCTGGGAAATATCGTTCTACTTCTGCCTTTACGATGCCATTGGATAATGTCTCCCAACAGGACGCTCAAATACTTTCGCAGTGAAGGAGATCGAAAAATACCTCAGTCTTTTCATGCTGCTCCTTTGCTGGCTCATCATCCTTGTGTGGTTTCGGCAACCGGTGTTGAGGTCGCTCTCGTCTCGCTTCACTCTGCTTCACCGGCTCCTTTCTACAAACAGACGTTAGAGAAATGTCTACAACAGAAAGCTGAGTTGCCAAGACAAATGGTTTCCCACCTCTTTCCCTTTTTCGATCTTCTCCTGCTCAGCCTCTTGTGCAGCTTCAGCTTCTTTTGCCTAAAACACATTCCAAAATACAGCATGTGGTAAGTGGCGATGGAAATGACTACCTTAGCGATCTCTTCTTCGTCAACGACCTCCCACTTCTCGGTATCACTCTCTGCTCTTTCGTCTTCGGGAGGTGGAACATCGCCAGCTGCTTTTGCTTCGGTTGCTTCTGCAGGCTCAGACGTATCCATAGGTGTTTCCTGGAACTAACACTGAAATTAGTAACAAAAAAAACTAAAAACTTGTCTGAGTTCTAGGAGCCCTAACGATTCGACAGCTGCGCTACATGTTCACGAATGTGAACGCTACTTCACAAGCGCTTCATTCATCAGTTTTTTTTGGGAGAACACGGTAGCGTTTTCGCAGTGCCTAGGTATTGCTTGTACTTATGAAAACTAGAAGTTCTTGGGACAAATCTCCCAGTTCTCTATCAGGTCATCGTGGCCTCATGGGTGCTCCCCATGCACGGCAACCATTGTAGTACGCATATGTCTACTGTTATCGTGAATAAAGAGCTTACATAAAAATTATCAGAAGTCCTACGCTATTCTCGTTCTAGATGGTGCTATACAATTTTTCACAGGTCATGCGTTAGTAATGTTTGGACGCCCTCCAATGGACACTCAAACATTCGTTCAAACAACGTGTCCAGCATCTCAAAAAAGAACCTCGACATTATTTTTAAATTTTGCAGTTTTTAGGGTAGTGTTCCAAAGATGTAGCAACGTGGATGACTTTACTGAAATTGGCGTGAATTCGCCTGAATCGTCGTCTCCAAGGGCTAAACATAACTCGGTTTAGATGTTGCATCCTCTACACCGCCGAACGTCTCGACACCCTAACGGTTTTGATGGAATTTAGGAGAACAACCAAAAAAAAACTGAATGTGAGGAATGTGCTTACCACCCCACTGACACATGAGCGGAACGATGGACTTGTTGTGTAAGGACAGCACAATACCTCATTTACTAAGTACAACAGCGAGTGACATCGTTCCGCTAATGTGGGACTGGTAAGTTCGTTTCTTCCATTCAGGTTTCTTGGCAGTTTCCCTAAAAAACCGTCAAAAAGTCAAAAACCTTGCCATTGAGGCGCTTGGCGGTATTGTGGGTACATATCTAGACTGGGCCATGCTTCGGCCACTGGGGACGACGATCATGTCGAAGCGTCAGACCATTTCCAACAAAGAACTCCACTTAACAATCCTCTCGACACAATAAATTAAAAACTGCAGAGCTTGTGCAACAGCATCTTTTGGAAAACAGTGACCTAAGTATCCAAAGGGAACTTATGGTAAGAGGAATTCGATTCGTTATCATCACTATGCCTATAGGTGCGTATGCCAGTGCACTGCGATGGTGACCTGACCAATCGGGTTGCTAGTTTTTACAAGTTTTTGTTTCGACAAAACACAAACGTCTAAGCAGCACCTGTTTTTCCTCGGCGTCTTCCGCTGCAGGTTCAGCGGCTGGAACCGGATCTGACGGTTTTTGATTGTCTACAGCAGCTTCAGGATGACCATTGGAATCTCCGTTTGGAACAGATGATTCTTTAGGTGGAGCTGGGTCACCTTCATGTTCTGCAAAGGACACGAGTTGAAGTGAGCTCAGAGTGATTATAATTAGCAGCCTACTGATAACACACAACAATCAAGACAGTAATACGTGGAGCGTAAAAATGAGATGGCAATTTATCTAAAAAATGCCAGAAGTATGACAGAAAAAGCTCTATTCAATAGGTTAGTCAAATTGTGAGTGGATTATATGAGCGAGGAAATCAAGAGTCCTGTTGCAGATCGAGCAGAGCTTCAGATTTTGTACTCTCACAACTGACCCCGTTTTGCGAGCGAATGAAAGGAACTAACTACGCTTTTCACGGCACCATGGCGGCGCCACTTAATATTACGCGATGACTACAAGGAGAGAATAAAACTAAGTTATATACAACGCATTCGAGTATCAACTTAGAAACTGTATTTTGTGCAGTTGTCGTAACTCGCGTACTATAAAACAGCAGCTTGTTTTCTCTACAAGCTTTCGTAAAGAAACGATTATTTAGAAAGCCGCGGCGGCTTTTGCTGCAACAATACCAGTAGTTAATTTTTTTTTGGAAGTGCAAGAGTTCAAAACTGAAAGCGTAGCAACGCGCCATCTGTATGCAAATAATGCTGAACTAATAAAGAAAAAGTAAGAACACCGAAAGAAGAATTTAACGGAGCCTTTCCATTCGAGTGCGAAACAACTCTTTTGATAAATCCTAAGAAAACAATAATTACCTGGTTGTTCCTTCACTGGGGTTGACTTTTGGACTGCATCCTCAGTGGCGTTGACTGCTGGTACTTCTGCTTCCTCAGACATCATGTAAGTACTGCACTGGAATAAAAAAACCATTTGCAAACTTGAACACCCAAAAACCAGTGAGCGACCCCGTACTCGACAAAATAAACCATCGAGAAAAAACCAAACCATAATAAGTTTTTGGAAAAAAATTGAGAAAAAACAACAATTATTAAACACGGCTCAATAAGAACAAACAAATACGAACATCAATATGGACGCCAAAACAGCCGCAACGCAAGGGGACGCGCGCGTTGCGCTGCGCATCGACTCCCCAACGTGTGCCTCGATACGCAGCCACAATTTGGCTGTTTGCCCGGTCAGTTGGTCTCCATGGTTCCTCGGCGTACTGTTGCATTCATACAGGGACCTTCAGCGAGCAGGACATCCTTTGCGAGTATTTTCCCATGTGGTAATCCGATCACTAGCTTCTGCTGGGGGATGTAGTACGGGAGCTAACTCGGTGCTAACGTAGTTGGAGGGGGCCACGCGGTTCTCGGCCAGTGATGACTCATCGACTCTTCTTTTCATGTTTAGGACATAGATATAAGATTGTCCTAGCTATATTCAAAAGATAAAACAGTTAACTCTGAAGAATGCGAAAAAACAGTTGTGGACAGGAAAATTTTGCCTAAACTTGTTGCTTTTTTGTTGTAGACCGCTGTTCTTGACTACAAAAGATCATACCAATTGTTTGTTTGTCAGGTCTGTGGGATGTGGTCTCAGCAAGGTGGTTCCGGGTTGAGTTGTTGTTGGTTGTGTGTTTGCGTATATGGTGTTGCTGTGCAGTATTAGTATGTCAACGCTGCTATCGATGCGGAATGAAGTCGGATCACTGGCCGGAGTGTAGGGGTGTGGGAGCGCGTGGCCCCCTCCAACTGGTACGTTGCACGGTGCGGGTAGACGTCGGGCAATGGTTCAGATTGGGTTGTTGTGCGTTGGAGAGGGGGATGTGGGGTGTGTTTGGGACGGGGTAATCAAGGGCACTCGGTCTGTTCACCCATGAATGGCGTGTCTGGTGAGGTTGTGAAAGGGAACAGGCGAAATCTAAGAGGGATTGACACACGCGCCAATCGAGTGGGCGCGCTTCAAATCCACAGCTCTGTTGGGCTGAAACGAATAGGGTATTTGTGCCAGTCTGTGTGTGTTATTTCTGGTGTAGGACGGGTTGTGAAGGTATGTTTGATGAGTTTGGTGGCCTGTGAACGTTGTGTGTCTGCTTTAGGAAATTTTATGAGTTGTAGCAGCTTATTAGATGCGATGTGGCCCATGCAGTGACTTGCGGGGCCAGCCGATGTACAAGTCAGTGTTTTTGGCATCGAATTATTTTCATCGGTGACTAGAGGGCTCGGTTTGGGTCTGGGGCGGGAGTCGTCACGGGACTGATCGCCGGCCTTTACGCGTGCTTGGGCGTTGCCACTTCTGTTTCATGCTCCTAGTCTCGACATCGCTTACCACCCGCGGTTGGCAGCCCCGACCTTTCTCTACAATTTTCTCAACTAGCTAAGATGGGGTTATCGATGTGGCTTTACATAACCCGTTTAGGGTACAATCCCATTCAAAAGTGCCGTGACATATAGAGGAATGGCAGAAAAGCAAAGGGGATAGGGAAGCGGGCTACTATACCATTTGGAGGCTAGTACCTTTAGCTGTGTATCTGTGAAATTTGGCGAACCTACCCACAGAAGAAGTTCTCGAGAAATTGAAAAGAAGCCTGAATGGTGAAAATCAGCGCCGGATTTTCAAATCAGACGTCATAAGAGGGAAGTGCGCTGCTCAAATTCGACCGGCATCGGATCAAGTTGTAGTAATGGTGTTCTTTATATACAAGGTGGGAGGTTTAGTTCAGGAGCCCGAAGAAAGAAGAAAGGAAGGAATTTGTTGTCGTGGATGGTCCCATGATGTTCATCCTGCACAAGAAAAAAGGGTGGACGAAGCAAGCGCCTGAATGGCTGATCAATAGAGCCTGCGACCTTAGTTGAGCTCGCCGCGAGTCTGACTTCTCATCTGCCAACTGTCTGCGATTATGTCTGATAAACTGAGGATTGGTCAAAGAGATTGCGCGCATGAGCGGTACCTCAGTTTTTCTTGTAGGAGAGTCACAAAGGCCAGTGCGATTCCCTATACCTCTAAGCAGTTAATGTCTCAGCATGAGATGTCACTCACAACTGTGAAAACGCATCCCGGCCCTAGATGAAATATGGGTGGTCTTGGACTCGCGCCAAAATTCACAATCGTCAATTTTGTATGAATGCAGATGAGAAGCCGCCCGAGTTCTACAATGAGGAGTTACGTGGCGCAGTGGGCATGACTCATCAGGAGCGAGGGATTTCCCACCTTGCTTTTTTGTGGCTCATAGACAGAGAATAAAATCGTCGGTCGCTGCGGTGTATATTGTCTGTTCCTCGGCAATCAGATCGACAAATGGATGATACCACACAACTACAAGAAGGCCACCGTTGCTCGTCATAGTGCCAGACCCCGAGTAACTGTATTGTAGGAGTGCTGGGACACAAACAATACTGAGACCTGGGTTCAATCGCCCATTCGCTCCATAAAGCCGTTCGATTCCAACTGATCTGGTTAGTCGAGGGTACTCTCTGACGGCAACGCGTCTACAATGGTTTGTCATCGCCGAATTGGAATCACAGCAATTTACGCGCACTGTTGCGAATCGAAGGTACCAGAGGTCCAAAGGCTTTCGGGGCACTGGGAGCGGGTCATTGGTGAAGGAGGGATTTACTTAACTTGAAGCCAAAATATTACTTTTTTTATCTATTCTCCTCTTTGTTTTATTCGAATAAAACCGACGGCACTTTTGAGATGAACCTCCCTAAGATGATAATTTGGTGTCCTGATTATCAACATGACATTTCTTTGGCACGCAATCCGTAACTGCCGCCTTTACAGGCGACCACAAGCTTCTTTTGTCCCAGTGCAGACTCCTTGCTGTTTCGTGGCGGTATGCCAGGCAGTTTAGAGAAAACACGGGGAGACGAGCACAGTATCCTTCTAGTCGGTTTGCGATAGTGATCTTTCCCGTACTAGGAAACAACAAGGATTTCCTGACTATCACGAGAGATTCCGTCCGCCGTAAAAGGAGACCGTGATTCCGTCCCGCAGCGCATTTTTTAGTGGAAAAAAATTTCTAACTGGTGATTGCAAATTAAAGTAAAAAGACGTGATTTCAGGCGGCAGCAGACCTCAAGGCTATATCAAAAGGGATGTCTTTAAAAAAACAGGGACATACTAAATACATTAGTATTTTGGGTTGTGGGGGTTGGACATTGGGGAACCAATTACCAGAAAATTTCATGAAAGAAGTTTAACCCATTCGTGGCAATGTCCGCCATTAGTGATGGATACTGAGATTTCCATTTGGGACCGTGTCTACCATATGTGGCGGACGGGTTTCTCATGAGGTTTTTAAGAACAGTTTAAACCCTTCAAGGGAACTTTCCAGTTGTAAAGCAAACTATTTCGTACCTTTACTAATTTAAGCAAATAGTGGACCAACGAGATCCTCGCTTATAAGGGTGCTAGGTACGATCCAACTAGCAGCACTAGAGAGATCTCTAGAAAAAAATCTGCTGAAAAATTGCCTATAGATTACTCAGGCCTCCTCATCACGACACGACGTCCATTTCTGGCGCTGCCGCTGTATGATGTCATTGGCACCGTTCGGCGGCCAACAGTATCACTAGGGCAGTTAGGGGGACGTGAAGAAAAGCAGCACACCTCTGACTGTCTGTGATAGTGATTTTTTTCCTTTATCAAGGCTCAGCCTCAGCAGAGGAAGGGATCACTATCTCGGGGAAGGGTGCATAGGAGCGCAAGCAGATTGCGCTACTACTTCTACCCCCTTTACTCCATCCTAGACATTCTCAACGCCCCATACAATGTGATATTCGTGCTCAGGAGGCCATCTGGAAAACTACATCTGGGAACAAGTTTTCAGCGAATTCAGCATGAGTGTTTAGGTTTTAATCCTGTGGCGCGGGCCCAGGAGGTTTTGGCCAACGCGGATTGTAATTTCCCGGGAGCTGTTGGAGGTGAAGCCACACCACGAGACAACTTTCTAGCCAACTTTGTCCACGCGAAAACAACTCAAAAAACTCAAGCAAAAAACTGACCTGATTTCGGATTTCGCGAATTGCAGTTAAACTGCCATTCTCTGGCGCTGGCGATGAAACGGGGACTGCCTCGCTGAGAATTCCGTTGCAATATGCCCAGAAAAGCAGGTTTTTCGTTACCAAAAGTGTCTGTTTTAAACATTTTTCAAAAAAAGGGTCGGCGACGAGAACAAGTGCGTGAACACAGCATTTGTGGTGGAAAGCCAGCTGTTCCAATGAAAGCCTGATTTGCGTGCTGAACCGGCCGTTTCACAGATAGGTGTTGTTTCGTGCGGATCCTGTGGGTGTCACTCGGAGTGGATTTCGCGCCTACGCCAGGCACGGTTCTCACAACTCATTCGTTGCTTGCTTCCTACAGCTGGTTAGAAAAAAATGGGTTGCGTTGCGCCAACACCCCTCCACCACTTGACACGCATCATGCCAGAGCAAGACCAGACTGAAAGCGGTCTCATGTAAGGACGGGCGGTTTAGCATTGTAGCATTGGGTAACGAGATGCTTTCGACAGGCCGTTTGTTGGAAAACGCGCCATTCAGCGCCTACTCAAGGCTAGATGTTTCTTTCCACACTTACCCCTGACGGCCTAGCTATCATCGTGCCCAACTCCTTATTCTATCGCGACTGCAAGTCGCGGGTTACAACCCTGTGCAGCACCTGCAACGAACAATGTGAGCAACCATTCGCGCTTGTAAACAGACGTAAAGGGGTTCAATGTATATAGGTTGGTGCATAAGTTCTTAGCCACGACTTTTCGTAAATATCTCAATAGCGAACCAACCTGAAGATTAGAGGTATGCACCATCACCATCCACTACTCGACGCCAACGCTCAGGCAGCTTGTGTTCAATTCCATCCTTCCAGAACGGACGTGCGACTGGGACTGGGAAGAATTCGGGCCTTTCTGAAACCTGATCCTTTTGTTT